AAAAAAAAAAAAAAGCCTCAATCCTTTTAGGCTAAGCCTTGTCCAAGAAGTCCAAACCTCCCGCAAGACAGAGGTTCATTTAATAGGTGACAGGAGAACCAATTAAGTGACCTAAAAATAACTCTGAAAGAGTGGCTTCTTGCTCTGCTAGATGTTCTAGGGCTTCTGGGTCTGGCTCTTATACTTAAACCTGCCCCAGGAACCCATCCTCACCTGTCAGGATAGTAGCCCCAGTGCAGAAGAACCTGCTTATCCCTCTTCATGACTGGTCGTACCCATTCCTCTGGGGATAGAGGCAGAGAAGGGAGAGAGATAAGCTAAAGAGGGACACAGAAAAATACTATACATAAGCCCTAACTAAAGTGCTCTCCTGTTGTAGCAGGGGACTTGGTAACAGGAACTTAAGGAGGTAGGAGGATTCAAGATTGAAAGAAGAAGAGCCTAGATACTGAATAGTGATCTTAGTCCTCTGCCTCCTACTCTAAGCCATCCATTTGAATAGCCAGAAAAAACCAGGTCTCACCTTCTTCTAGATTTCCCGGGACAGGATACACAACATGGGAGGCATTGTTCTTATCCTCAGTGACTGTTCCCTGGATGGTACAAGGAGAAGCAGGTAAATTATGGTCCCCTCTGAATTACTCAAAAGTTTAGTCACAGAGCTGCCTTCCTAATCATATTTTGCTTTGAATGATATTAAAGTTAGTTTGCATTCTCTAAGCACATGCCAGCTAAGTGGCAGAGGGAAATAGCTGGAATTGTGCTAATAATGCAGAAAAGTGAAAGAATTAAAAATTGTTACAAACAATCCTCTGAACAGACAATCTACACATGGGGAATTTAAAGTCAACTGTATGTCACTATCAGTGACATCTGTTCATTATTATAAAGTTCCAAAGAGCAGGAATTTCATTTATCTGAAATCAAGCAATCTCTAGCTCAGTGGAAGTGGATACTATTTTCCCCTAGGCCAACATAGTCTCTAGGAATAGTAATGCAAATCTGTCAGGACTGACAAATGGGAGAAGCAGACAGAAAAAGATGTACTCAAGGCTTTAACTCTACTCTTTTTCCAAGTAGATAGAGCCACCTCTGAAGTAGAAAATATGGTAATGTAGGGCTGCTGCTTGGTATGGAAAACATCAGGAAAAGAGTCATGGAGTTTCTAAAAGCTTTCCTGACCAGACCATTTACCTGGTGTCTCTTGATAATGTCCTTTAATTTCCCTAGTAGTTTGGGCTCAATTTCTGGGCACAGAAAAATGTTAGGTCGAGACAAGCAATTATTCTGTGGAGAGAAGAAACAGAATAAGACTATAGGAAAGGAGTGCTTCAGATTCTCACTGAGGGAAGAGACATAAATAGGGGATATGCCTATTACCTGCACCAAGGACTTCTCAATGGTCATAAACATTTCCACATTGCGGTCCATGCGTGATGGATTCTGGAAATCGTAACGCCGCCTTGTGAAGAGGCAATAATCTAGTGAGTGGTATAGCTCCGGTGTGCAGATGAGGTGAAGGCATGGTGCGATCTCGGCTCACTGCAACCTCCGCCTCTCAGGTTCAAGTGATTCTCTTGCCTCAGCCTCCCTATTCCTTAGGATTACAGCCACACGCCACTACGCCCAACTAATTTTTGTATTTTTAGTAGAGACCAGGTTTCACCATGTTGGCCAGAACGGTCTCGATCTCCACCTTGTGATCCGCCTGTCTTGACCTCCCAAAGTGCTGGGATTACAGGTGTGAACCACGGCGCCTGGCCTTTTTTTTTTTGAGATGGAGTCTTGCTCTGTAGCCTAGGCTGGAGTGCAGTGGTGGGATCTCAGCTCACTGCAACCTCCGCCTCCCGAGTCCCGGTTCAAGCAATTCTCCTACTTCAGCCTCCCAAGTAGCTGGGATTATAGGCACGAGCCATCATGCCCAGCCAATTTTTGTATTTTTTAGTAGAGATGGGTTTTCACCATGTTGGCCAGTCTGGTTTTTAACTCCTGGCCTCGTAATCCACCCGCCCTGGCCTCCCAAAAAGGTGGGATTACAGGCGTGAGCTACCACGCCCAGCGTTTTTTTTCTTCTTTTAAGGAGTCTCGCTCTGTTGCCCAGGCTGGAGTGCACTGGTGAGATCTCGGCTTGCTGCAATCTCTGCCTCCCATGTATAAGCCATTCTCCTGCCTCAGCCTCCCAAGTAGCCCGGGTGACCCTCACAGGCCACCACACCTGGCTTTTAGTAGACAGAGGGTTTCATCATGTTGGCCAGGTTTATCTTGGACTCCTGACCTCAAGTGATCTGTCCACCTCAGCCTCCCAAAGTGCTAGGATTACAGGTGGGAGATACTGTGCCCAGCTATGACTTCTTTTTTTTTTTTTTTTTT